CGAAGAATTGCTCTGCTTTTCTTCAGTTTTTATTTGATATAGAGATTTGCTCCTGTAATCTTGTTTGTGAACGAAAATATGTAAAAATTATACTGTTAGAATCGCCTTTCAAAACCGATCCAGCAACATATCTTCTTTTTCGTTTTCTGCAATTTTTCAGTTTCGAAGATCTCTATATTGAGATCTTGAGATTCTTGTTTTTCACTGCTGCAGAAATGATTTTGACTTGAAACTGATACATGAGAATCTTGATCTTCAGGGCTTTTCAGAACAGTTTTCAGATTTTCAAAAATCGAAATTTTCATTTTGCAGGATCTCGATATTTTTTGGGTTTTCGAACTTGGGATTTTGACATTTGGGATCTCGATGTTTAGGATCTCGACATTTTTGAAGATTTCGAGATTTTTAAAATTTTTATGTTTTGAATATTTCAAAGTTTGCGGTGTCTTGAAACTCAAAATTGTTCAAAACTTGACATTCTTCGCAGTTCATCGAAGCTTTACATTATAGGATATCTGAATGAATCTCTGCTTATCAAATTTTTTAGAAGTTTTCGATGTTCTGATGTTTTTCAAACATCAAGTTTTCGATATTATGAGGTTTTCGAAACTTCAAAGTTTTCGATGTTCCAAACATTTTGAAATTCTGAAGATTTCGATATTCTGAGGTTTGTTTTGCAGGTGGATTTTGCCATTATTCTTCGAGGCAAACTCGAGATTAAGATCTCGAGACTTACACCTGGAGATTGGGATCTCGAAGTTTAAACCTCGAGATTGGGATCTCGAAGTTTAAACCTCGAGATTGTGATCTCGAGATTTAAACCTCGAGATTGTCATCTCGAGATTTAAACCTCGAGATTGTAATCTCGAGAATTAAACCTCGAGATTGTAATCTCGAGATTAGGATTTCGAGGTATTGCCAAAGAATTTTTCTTAATCCCACCTGTTCTCGATATTCATCATCGAGAACCTCAACTTCGAAGAAATTCCTCAAAAACTCAAAAAAAAATCGAGATTTTATGCGACACCGCACTGTTTTGGCCATAACTTTTGACTCGGTGATCCGATTTAAGCGAACTTTTTTTGTTGGAAAGCTAACAAAAAAATCTACATGAATTCTCAGGGTTTACCCCAGAACCGTTTTTCACGCGCCCTCACGCGCAGTCCTTGAGGGTCAAAACGTTTGTTTTCCGACAAACATTGTAAATCACCGATGTCAAGGTCAAAACTCAGGCAAATCTGAATAAATTCTTTCAAAGTCAAGCCAAAGGTCAAAGATTTTCTAAACTACACTGTAGAGGTCCGGAAATCATAGATAATTCAATCAACCTCGCGTCAACGGTCATCTTACAACAATCAACAATCAACTACTAAAGCCTCCCCTAACTCATCAACATTGTGTGATCCTCAAACGTGCTGAAATTCCAAATGATGAGCTTAGGGAAACCGTCACGTGTGGTATCTTTTCAGATTGCTCCACACACATGGCCGGTATGACGAGCTGTGAGCAATCAATCCTTGCACATTCTGAGGGGGAGTTTCAGTTTTCTCCTCCTGGCGCCTTACACCGGCAAAGCAGGAATCTCTCAACGGATGCAACATTTTAGGGGGAGTGTTCAATGTTATCCTCCCCGATGCCTAACAATGACAAAACATACCGAGTGCTCCAGTTGAGGGGGAGTACGGAGAGAAAATCGATGAGAGAACATGTTCCTATGGCTTAGTAAACCCAACTAAGCCTACCCAAGGGACAAAGCCGAGAGTAAGTGAGTGAGTGTGTAATCATTATGAGAGTTAGGAAGCAGAAGGCTCAAGTGAGCAAGAAAACAATAATCAATGACGAGTCTGCTACCACAACTGCCTGCTATGTATTGAACATTTACTCCTAGCCACTCAAATACTCTGGACAATTCCCAAATAGGTTCAGGACTGAGTTAATCAGATCCCGGGTAGAAGTCACTGCATCTTGTCCAACAATGCATGATTGAACCCTACCCAAGATCACTCACTCGTCTCCCAACAGATAGGTGTTTAATCATACTTCACGGGGAACCACATCTCTCATTACTGTCTCCTTCCGAGGCAAATGATTCTGACTACAGTGGCCTCAGCCCCATGCCACTGAACTTTCATTGATCACGTCGTGTCTAGTTACTCACTCCCAAATGTTTTGAAATTTTCTAGGACACACACGCACTTTTTGAGTCAGTTGCAGGTCTACATAACCCGCGAGAACTTCCATAGGGCTCATCCATTACAGATGTAGACCGATGATTGGAAGGAAGTCCTGCTGTTGCAACATAAGAATCACCAACATTTTCAGGCCATCGCTTCAGAGTTTATCTCTATAGTGATGATAACGGGCGTCTACATGACCCCGGGGGGGCTACATCATCTTTCCTGACCTTTATGGTCATGCCATAACAACTAGAGTGACATCTTTTTGGATGCTTCACAATGACGTGTTGGAAGTCTTGTTAGAGCTTAATAATGTTTCTTTCATTATATACATGCCACATATCGATGTTTACATTGATGTTGTGTTAACGGAACACATCAGTGTATCCGGTTTTTGCATTTCAACATTCTGCTTGTTTTTCCTGTTTTATTTCAGCAGAATAAAAGAATAAAGGCATGACGCCCCGAGTCATCGGATCGTCATGAGGGGGAGAGTGGTCCACATGCTGTTAACTGATCTGAATCTGTCTGATCTGATCTGAATGTTTCTGATCTGATCTGAATCTGTCTGGTCTGATCTGAATGTTTCTGATCTGATTTGAATGTTTCTGATCTGATCTGAATGTTTCTGATCTGATCTGAATCCTTCTGGTCTGATCTTAACTTTCTAAATTGGTATATAATAATAAGAATAATAACAATAACAATAATATTATAATAGTAATAATAACTATTATTACTATTTAATAAGTATAATAAAAATAATACTCTGTAACAACAACAACAACAACAATAATAATAATAATAACAATAGTAGTAGTAGTAGTAGTAGTAATAATAGTAATAATAATAATAATAATAATAATAATAATAATAATAGGTAGTAGTAGTAGTGATATTAATAACCTTTTTAATAATAATATAAATATTTGACAATAAACGAAACAATATAAAATTCTTGCACATAATGAGAGTAACGTAGAAATGACAAACACATGCGTTTGTTCTTACAACTCAATTGCAAAAAACAATAAATATAAATGTACTTAGTGCCATATTCATTTAACGTCGAATTGAGCGCCAAATCTCATCAGCTATTTGTGTTTGCACTTTTTCCATTTCTTGTTTGCGTTCTGGATTAAACATGCTAGTGTCAGTACTTCGCTCAATGGTGATTGCATTTGAAATTGGAATATCCAACTCGTAAAGACGGATAAAGTTATGCAGTGCGAAAGTTAATACTATAATCGCAAGTTGATATTGAATTTCCATTAACGGCATCCTATGTAGTATCCTCCATCGGGACTTCAGTATAGTGAAACATCTTTCGAATGGTGACAGTATTATATATTTAGATTAGATGGATTGGTACAAAGTACTCAATTTTAGCATTTATTAAAAAATCAATACTAAAAATTACTCCGTAAAACATAATAGTAATATATAATATTATATAATAGTAATAATAATAGTAATTATATTAATAATAATAATTATTATTATTATAAAAAAATAACAATAATAATAGTAATAATAGTAATAGTAATAGTAATATATATAATAGATAATAATATAATGCTTCCAATTTGGTATGAATATTTCTGAACTAATCTGATCTGATCTGATCTGAATGCTTCTGATCTGATCTGAATGCTTCTGATCTGATCTGAATGCTTCTGATCTGAATGCTTCTGATCTGATCTGAATGCTTCTGATCTGATCTGATCTGATCTGATCTGAATCTTTCTGATCTGAATCTTTCTGATCTGAATGTTTATGATCTGAATCTTTATGATCTGATCTGAATCTTTCTGATCTGAATCTTTCTGATCTGAATAAAATAAGAATAAAGAATAAGTAATTAGATTAAGACTAAGAGAACAAATTGTGGTGCCAATTGAATATGTCATTGTCAATCTAACAAATTGAGTAGTCTGTGTCGTCATTCCTTTACCAAGGATTTTCAATAAGAAGATTAGAGCCCTATGACTCTATTTTTAGATTTATTATCGAAGTTATTCATAAAACACATAATTTTTGATTTCACGTATTGAGTTGTGAAATAATAAGTAAAGTTGGAGTTACTTATATGATTATTTAGTTGAAGTTACTGTCTATGACCATTTTAGCTATTTTTCATATACCTTTTTCTTTATATTACTACCTCCGTCCCACTAACATTGGGACGAAAGAAGGTGGCACGATTATTAAGAAAAATGGATTTATGTGGTTGATATTGAATTGATAAAGTAGGAGTGATTAAGAGCCACACAAACTTTACCAAATATGGTATGAGACAATCTTAGTGGGATTTCCCGAAAAGGTAAAATGAGACAATCTTAGCGGGACGATGAGAGTATTAGATATTAATAAAATATATTTTAAATACGCAATATCATTTTTTTATAAATTTCAACAAAATCAACCAATTCAATCAATTTCAGTGCTATCAAACGGACTCTTATACTTGGACAATGGTGATACTCGCTCCGTCCCATTTTGGTTGTCCTACTTTCCTTTTTCGGTTTCCCGAAAATGAATGTCTTCTTTTTCTGGTAAAAAAATATGTGGTGCATATAATTTAACTTTATTATAATCAAATATCAACCACAGATTTTATTTTTCAATCATTTATTAATAGTCGTGTCAAATTAAAACATGACAACCAATATAAGATGGAGTATTTAGGAGTATTATTTTACCCATGTTGCTTTAGATAGTTTGTGAAAAAATCTGGGAGATTTTTGAGATTTTAAGTGATCCCTCTTCATTTTTTTTGCGATTTTTTAATTATTTATACGTACTATTTTCATTTATCCAATTACAAATATGGACGAAGCTGCTGTAGCAAAGATAGATTTGGTTGATCAAAAGTTGCTAGCCCTTACCCTTAGCCTCTCACCGCATCTTACACTCTCTTCCCCATCTCTCATCGGCATCTCTTCAGAGCTTGTGTGAACCCTAAATTTGTCTATCGCTCTCCCGCTCTTGCTGTTTTTCATCTCTATATTCTGCCAATCGCCATAGCTCTCGCCCCTTCCCCCACTGTGTCTCCGAGCTGTTCTCGAGCCTTTTGGCGATTCACTTTCAATCGCGACAGGTTTTTGATTTTTCTACAGTACGATGGCTGATGGTAAGATTGATCTCCCCGAAGATCTCCTCGCCTCCAATCTCTCCGATCAGACACTGAACCCTAAAGGTTTTCGCTGGTTTTCCTTCAAGGAGTTTTACCTAATTTTCTACATTTAATTACTACGTATAATTTTGTCAGCACGGTTAGATTTGGTTTCGAATTGCGGGAGATCGTTGATCTGACAGTAGCGCAACTTCCCCCAGACCTTAGTTAAGGATGACTTGATTTCTTGGATTTCAGATCCGGTGGTCTGCGTAATGTTAATCTGAATTTTTATTGTGTACTGCACTCCAAATTTTGAAAAGGGAATGTTTCAGTATTCGCTACTTCTACTAAAAATGCCGTATCCATTAAAGTAAATTCATATCTGTTCTGTTAGGGTTAGATATTGACATATTAATGAGGTTTTTCTTTCTCTTGGAGGACAGCACTGTCGCTTTTGTCCTGCCCTCTTAACAGAGTATTTTATTTTGTACTGTTATTTGGGAATAGAAAGTTGTAAACAGGCTGTTTTTATTGCTCCTATTGGTTTTTAGTTGCATTTTGCCTGATGTGTGATGATTTCAGTATCTATTTATTGCTGGCATTCTTTTCATATCATTGCGCTTGTCTTTTTATGTATCTAAATATAAATTCTATTTCAGGTAACATCGAAGACAAGTCTCTGATAGGATTGCTTGATGTGTCAAAGGGTAACACTGCGTATTTTCAATGTGTTTTGACTTGTTATATTGTTGCTCGATTGGGTTCTCTTTGTAACAGTACATCCCTATTTGTTATTGGACTAACTCTCCCATTCCTTATAATACTCATATATGCTTCATTTTCTTATTTGACAATTTGACAATTGTTTTTGTAGATCAAGCAGTGCCTGATAACAACATCCCTTTGTCTCCACAGTGGCTGTATGTTAAGCCTAGTGATACCAAGACAGTAAGCTATTCCCTTTTGATAGTCATTTATAGAGAGTGGTCTTCACTCTTCAGTGTTCGTTATTAGATGATTGCAACATCTTAAATAGTTTTTCGACACATGTCCCTTGAATTTGGTATAATATCTACATTTGGTTGGACATATATAATAATCACATAATGCACAACTTATCCTGAATCTATAGACTGTGAAGTCCGCCGTAATGACATTGACATTGATTGTGTTTTGCTGTCTTCCCTTTTTTCACTAGAACTAGATATATGTTTCTTCACAAAGTTTTTCTGTTAAAATTACGAGTGCATCACATGATTTTACACTTAGAAATGTGCAGGAAAGTACAAGAAATCATCTGACAATGTCTTGTTTAACTCTATGCCCTTGATTATAAGTAGTTAGGTATATTTTGTTTAAAAGAGTGCTATTGTGTGACCATTTGTAATTCAAGGTTTCTGCATTAGCATTAATGTTTACCATGTACTGTGTACATCTAAGATGTTCAATGGATGATAGTGTAATATGTAGAAGTGGAGCTTTGGTGCACTAGTTAAGGTGTTGCTGTGTGACCAATAGGTGTGAGGGTTCAAGTCTTTGGAGCAGCCTCTTGTCAAAATGTCAAGGGAAAGCTTGCTCCTTATACACCCTTGTGGTGGGACCCTTCCCTGCACCCTCGTCTTGCGGGGACACCAATGTGAATCAGGCTGCCCTTTTAATGTACTCCCTCCGGTCCTAAATAAACTTCATATTTTCCTTTATGGGTAGGTCCAAAATGAACTTCACACTTCTATTTTTGGTAACTTTTCAATATAAAGTTACCCTTATACCCTTACTTTATTACCTAATTTACTCCCACTTTCTCTCTCCCACTACATATAATCTACTTTTTATAAGGGCATGATGGGAAAGTCAAAACAAAAAGTCCACTTTTCTAAAAACCGTAAAGTCAAACTATAAAGTTTATTTAGGACCAGAGGGAGTATATATTTATCAATATTTGCACATTCAATGAAAGGGTTTTATGCTTTATTTCCAATCTCTTGTGCATTAGTTTATGCTATTTACTTTTTATTGTTCCACAGGATATTCGCCCACCAAGTGCTCTTTCACTTGGAAGTTCTGGGGATCTGATACAGAAGGAAAACAGACGTTTGGATGCACCTGAAGATAGAAAGGATTGGAGGAGGACTACAACAGAGAGTGAGAGTGGACCACGTTGGCGCGAAGAAGAGAGGGAAACCAGTCTGCTTGGTAGAAGAGACCGCAGGAAAACAGATCGACGCGTTATAGAAAATACTGCTGCCAGGGAAACAGGTGAAGCTAGATCTTTACCTACCTCTGACAAGTGGCATGATGTGGGCAATCGAAATGTGGGTCCTGAATCACGACGTGATGTAAAGTGGACTTCTAGATGGGGTCCTGAAGATAAAGAGAAGGAAACTCGTACAGAGAAAAAGATAGATGTTGAAAAGGAAGATGGAAACAATGAGAGTCAAACAATTATCTCCAATCGTTCAGTTTCTGAGCGGGATCCAGATGCACGTGACAAGTGGCGCCCACGCCATAAAATGGAAGGAAATGCTGTGGGATCTGGCTCATACCGTGCTGCGCCTGGATTTGGGACAGAGAGAGGTCGTGGAGAGGGGTCATATGTTGGGTTCATTGTAGGCCGTGGGAGGTCCAATGCGTCGGCTCAGAAACCTTGCAGTGCAATTGGTAGCACAAAATTAGACAACAGTGATAGTGATAGTGTACCTGGAAAACCAAAATCTGGAGCCGATTTATTTTGTTACCCGAGGGGGAAGCTTCTTGACATATACCGCACTCAAAAACCTTTGTCATATTTTGACAGTGCTCCTGATGATATGGAAGAAGTGCCCTTCATTACTCAAGCAAATGTGGGCGAACCGTTAGCTTTTGTTGCTCCTGATGCTGGAGAGGAGGTAAACATCATTAATACATTTGTACATCTCTTATTTACTTAATTTCTTTGTACTTTTGTATTGCATGGACAACCAGCAGTTCAGTACTTAATTCAAATCTTTAAGCATTGATTCAACTTTACAGGCGATTCTTAATGGTATATCGAAGGGTATGATCAAGAGTAGTGGTGCGTCATATGCTTCTGCTCAAAAGGGGAGATCAACTGATAATGTTAATGGTAAGTGCCTCTTGAAATGTTCTCTCAAGGCATTTAAGCTCATATTTGAAGTCGTGCATTCCCTTTAAAAAACTTGAAAAAGGCAAATGGAAGAGTTAGTATATCATTATCTATCTGCTTTTATATACTGTCCTTTTGAAGCTGCTTTTATATAGACAATATGTTTTTAATCCCTTTTTTGCTCGTATCACTGTAGACACTAACTTTCACCTTTGAGAGTACGCCTTCTGCTTAATTTTTTACTAATATCTTCATAGATTTCCAACAAGTTGAACTTTTTCAGAACATTAATTTTTCTCATCGGGAGAGGTTGGGGGGTCTTCAAGGAGACAACCTCACATCTGAAAGTTTTTCAATATACTAATATTTTTAAAAGTTTCCAATGTTAGAAGTTTTTCTAGAACCCCTGAGATTTTCTTTGGTGGGGTTCTTGGAAACAACATTCCTATTAGGGGTAACCTTTCTATTTTCATCAAACCTTACTTCCAAGTGGTACCTATAGGGGTTGCCTGATCGCCTGTTATATACACAGGAGAAATTCAAGTGGATCTGTCAACTCCTCATGAAATGAATAGATGCTCTTTTTACCAAACTGACAATGGTTTTTGTTTCCTACTAGAATTTGGAGAGATAGAACATATGAATGGAAAACCAGATGTGCATCTTACGGACAAGATAGATAAGATGGTAGATCATTTTCCGAAAAAATCAAAAGATATTGAAGAATCTGCTGCTGACAGCATCTTTTACAACAGTGGGCTTAAGAAATATTCACGTGGTAAGTGAACAATGAGCCGGTGTCATTCATTTATTAGTTTAACAGCTTCTTATTGATATGTGCCTAATCTCAGATATGAAAGAAACTTATGAAGATCCTGAAGCTATTAGTTCACATGACACAATGCCAGACATAACAAGTGACACAATTGTCAGACCTAAAGACATTGATGTTCCTGAGCTCGGCTGCATCCAGTCCCACAAAACATCAACTTTTGATGCCAGTTCTAGCTTTCCTGATGATTCAATTTCTGTAATCTCTTCTGTGCTAAGCTTAGGCTTTTGCAGTAATGAAAACCGATTGGGGAAGATGATCCCACCTGAACAGCTAAGTTTGTACTATCGTGATCCTCAAGGTGCAATTCAGGGTCCGTTTCTTGGGGTTGACATCATATCATGGTTTGAACAAGGTTTTTTCGGGACAGATTTACCTGTTCGTTTAGAAGGGGCCTCTGAGAATTCACCCTTTTTAGAATTGGGTGATGTCATGCCACACCTAAGAGCTGGCCATGGTGATCTTGGAATTTCTGGATCAGGTTCTAATTTTGAACAACCCGAAGCTGTGGAAGACCTGGCTGAAGCAAATATACAGGACTCTTGCTCTTCTGTAATTGGTTCTTCAGCCGCCGCCATCGATGGCTTTATGTGGCAGTCGTCAGACCTTGGTGGTCCATATGGTCAGCATATTCAGCCAAACAGATCTGATCAGAACTTTCGTCCATCTGAAACTTCAAGTTCCCAGGAAGAGTATACTGATTTTGGCCATTTTGCTTCCCAAACTGAAGGTTTGTTGAACTTTTTACCCCCAATCTACTTCAGATGTTGCTGTCTGCTAAAAATATATACTTCCTCTGAAATTAATTCACGTTTTAGAAAAAGTGTGAGCATATTAAGGAACCTTACAAAATAATATGTTCCTTAATATTAAGGAACGTATGAGGAGCATTGCAAAATGACATTTATATGCTTATAAAAGTTTAACAATAAATGCATCCTATTTCTCTTCAAGAAATAAAAACATTTAATGTTTGGAAAGTTAAAATTGGCAAAACTGTCAATTAGTATAAAATATATGCCGAGAATTCTTAAAACGACAGTTATTGGGACATAGAATATTGGCTTAAATTATAAATTAGTAAGAGGAATGTATAATTGTGTTTACACTTCTTCCCCACAAATGATTTGTTGCTGATTTATTTCTTTCCCCACAGAAAATATTTTCCCAGGAAGACCTGGAAGTAGTGGAAATCCCATTGGGAAAGTAATGATGGGCACCAATGATCCACCTTTAAATATCATAAATCACCCGTCAGTCCAGATTGAAATGTCTGATCCTGGTTTGGCAAATCACAGAGATCACAATAAGTTGCATCCATTTGGTTTGTTATGGTCTGAACTTGAAGGCCCTTATTCGAGGAATGACAACAGAGGCAATCAGGTTCAACATGCAAACCCCATATCTGGACCAGTCTCTCAGTTCGGCACTATGACTGAGTCATCCACTGGTGTAATAGATTCATGGCCACCTAGCATTACTCACAGGAAAAATTCACTTTCCGATCTCAACTCCTATCAAGATCCCAGTAGATTTGATTTTTCAGATAATAGTATATCCCCTCATCACCTCCAGCCACTCAATTTGATGTCTTCCCATAACGCCCTCATGGATGACTCAACAATGGAAAGGGGAGGGGTTCCTCAGAATTTAATGCACAATCAAATGGTTCCACCTGATATAGAGCAGTTTATGACCATCAAGATGCAGCAAAGGCAACAGCAAAGGCAGCAGCAGCTACACCTTCAACAAATGCAGCAAATTCAGCAACAACAAATGCTTATGAAAGAACAACAGCAGTCTCAGGCCAGACAGCTGCTGCTTGAACAATTTTTGCAGCGTGAATCAAACCACGGCCAATCACGTGTTGATTCCATTAGACCTGGGAGCACCAGTCTAGAACATGTGATAAGAAACCAACAGATTTTAAGTGAACTACATCAATCCCAGCTCCCTCCAAGGCACACCGATCCTTCCATTGATCATCTATTTCAGCAGGCTAGATCTGGTCAAATACCGCTTCATGGAGGGCATCCAAACAATTTGTTGGAGCTTTTATCACAAACTAAGCGAGGTGGGCAGATGCATCATCAATTGGAGCATCATCATATTCTCCAACAAGAACAGTTACACGGGAGGCCGTTACCGATGGGGTTGAGGCGAAGGTTTGAAATGGAGGAAGAAAGACAACTTTCTTCTGTCTGGCCACCATTGGATGAGAACAACCAGTTTTTGAGAAATCATGGCGGCCATCATCGATCCAGCTCAGGGATTGGCGGGTTAGATTTTCTTCAACAGCAACAGATACGACCTGAAGAGCATCTCAGTCTTCTTGAGCGGAATATTCCGTTACAAGATAGACTACCACGTGGCCTTTATGATCAAGGGTCATCTTTGCCATTTGAGCGATCTAGGTCGTTGCCTGGTGCTGGTGGAGTGAATATGGATGTTTTAAATGCAATTGCTCGTGCACAGGGCTTAGATATGCAGCAGGATCCTAACGTACGAATGAACTCTAGTGGTAATATGGGTGGGCCTGCTTCTGGCCTCTACAATCATCATCATCCTCACCATTCTTTTCCTTTAAATCAATATGACGGTTCACACTCAGATTCAGTGGAAGGACGTTGGTCTGATAACAACAACAGCCAGTTACCAACTGATTGGATGGAATCCCGAATTCACCAATCAAGTCTTATTGGTGACAGGCAAATGCGAGACACAGAGGCTAAACGGGTTTCTTCTGAAGATTCAAGTTTATGGATGTCTGCAGGTGCACATGATGATAATTCTAAGCGATTACTTATGGAACTTCTTCATCAGAAGCATGGCCAGCAATCATCAATGGAGCAGTCTAGCGGTAGAACTTCTTATGCTTCAAACCAGCCCGCTTTTAGTAGTCTCTCCCATAAAGGAATGGATCCAAACCACTCTTTTGCTGTAGGGTCTTATGGCTCAAATTCCAGTGTTCCACGTCAGAGTTATGTAGCAGAAGAAATTACAAGCAGTCAAAATCTGCCATTCTCATCTCATTCTAGAACATTAGGCAATGATGAGGCGTTCCTTTCTCGCGTCAATGATTTTTCCAAGGTAAATCAACCAAATGCTTGGAGTATTATTATATCTACACCCATGCTCCTCAGATAACCTGATTCTATTGGTCCTTGCTTCCAAATCATTGCCACATTGAATAATTTAAATAATCTTAAAACCTCTTTAAATCTCCTCCAACCATCATCTCCAATTCTTTTAATTCTTTGTAGATGTTAGATTCAGTGATTGCCTCTACTTTCACATATAATTCGGGTTCTCGCTTTCTCTAGATAATTTCCAAATAGTCTCCCACTCATCCACCTCATTTCCAAACAATTCCTCGACTCTAGGGATGGGGGAACATATCATTATGATGAGGGAACAGTTCATTATTAAATTAAAAAAAGATTTAATGTTCATAGATTTAAATAAAGGGCGAGTGAAAACTTAATAATGGTTATGTGCAGGGAACTAGAGCAGAGATGCCAGAAGGTTCAACTCAACAGACGGGCTTGCGCAGAGTTGACCGGGATGAAATACCAATTGATGTTCACACCCGACGCACTGGCCTTGACAGTGGAGGTAAGATGTCATTATTATTAAAATTTTCGTGGATGAAAAAACCGGATTGGACTGACTGCTTTAACCATAGAAAGGTGATCCAGTGCAGGGCAGAAAATCACTTCTGAGAGTGCTGGCTTAAATCTCATCATACAGGCATAATGGTTGCCCAATTCAACTAAAGGGGGTGTTTGGATTTGCTTCTTCAAACTGCTTGTGCTCCTTTAGGGAGCAGAAGCAGATATTAGAGTGTTTGGGTGGAAGTGCTGAAAAACTTATTCTGATTCTACTTCTTTTAAAAAAGAAGCAAAATCAAATCCAAACACCCCCTAATTTGTGTTTTAATCTGATTTTTTTTTACTTCATGCCTTCATCTGTAAACAATGTGTATTAAGACAAGTTTCAGCCACAAAAGTTCCATACATGCTTGAACAAACACGTAGGAAATGAATTTTATTGAGACAAGTTATCAAATAAAAGGCATGTTTGCTAGTGCTGAATTGTTGAATTTTAGGGGATATCGAGTATTATAGAATGGTTTGACCAATTGACTCCTCTGACCCGATATACTATTGGACTTTATATTTGACTCTTCCAATTTCCCGAAGTCTGGCCTGACTTGTTGATAACTGATTATTGTGGTTCTAGTTTCTTCTTCTCCTTTCGATGTAGTTAAAGTATTTAGGCTGAGAGTCAATTCATTGTGCAGGTAATTTCCGGACTGATGTCGCTGAGGATCACCGGTAAGGAAACAATTTGCATTCCTGCTTTCATAACATAGATCATTTTTTTATTCTTAAAGGATATAGTAGAGTTGTCTCTTTCTTTAACAAGAACCCAAGGCTGACTCCTCTGCAACTTTATATTGCTGTCATATCATTCTTTGCTGCTGTAAAATACTCCCTTTGAAAAAAAAAGAATACTTTGCATTAGAATGACCACTGAGTGATTATCATCGGCCTTGGCGAGTTCACTGTTGCAGTAGTCTTTTGGGCTTGTCTTGAGGAAATACCTACCATTATCTACTTGAAGAATAACCTATTAGGATGGTGAACATGCGAAAGCTTTATAAATGACATTGACATACTAAAAGCATGTTTGCTCAATCTTTCACCTCACTATTACCTTAAAGATGATTAGTAATAGGTTTGCTAATTAGTAAGACCTAGTAGTGAGTCCCGTTTCTTTTTTGTTTTACTTTTACAGCGAGTCTATTCCCACATTGAGGGCAGAAAATGTTTTACTGAAACGTCCCCATGTTTCATCAAGTGAAGAAGGTTTATCCGAACTGAACTCCAGTTCAATCACAAGCAAAAGTCATTCAAATACGAAGGCTTCAGAAGGTATTCTCGTATTACATTCCCATCTTGAAGATTATTTTAGCTCTTACATGTGACTTGAAAAATTGGTAGGTTCTGAACTATTATGGCACACTTGGTATTAAACATATTGCAATTGTCTAACTGTCTCAATAGGATCAGGTTTTCTGAACAATTTAATGTGCTTTTTCAACAAGTGTCCCTAACAAGTGTGTTATATTCTGTCACAACCAACAAGTGAACTTAAAAGTACAGCCACAATTTTTCAGGACGGGAATTTTTTCTGTCAATAACAAACTGACAAAGTATAAAGCAGAAAATAAAATAAGCAGCTATTGGTTCGGAGGCACTCCGTATGGGATATTTTTATTGTTTTTCTTTCTCCCCTGAAGATATTTCTTTTGTTCGTTGCTTACTTATTTACTGCAGTTTTGATTTTATTTTGAAATTTGCCACATCATTAGTGACTAGGAAACAGGATTCGGAATGTATTGCCGTAGTAGCAAATCAAGTGTCTGAAACATCCTTAACGAATGGGAAAAAAGATGCACGTTTCAGGCGAACTGCCTCTTGCAGCGATGCTGATGTTATAGAAACATCGTTCAGTGACATGCTTAAGAACAATAACAGTGGGAAGAAGATGGGGGCAACACAGCAGGATGTTCATTCTCCTTCTATGACTGGTACTATTTCAGAGCCAGCTGATGGGGGCGTACAGGGTGGTGGTGCACGGAGCAGCAAAAAGAAAGGGAAGAAAGGGAGACAGATCGATCCTGCCCTTCTCGGTTTCAAGGTGATGAGTAACCGTATTTTGATGGGTGAGATTCAACGTGTTGAGGATTGATTAGATGAAAGTTTTACGATCTTATATTTTGTCACTGTACAGGCTTTGTTTTTTGTACAGCAATTTGTTGCGGTAGAAATCAGATCCCCTAATTTAGGCGGTGTTTGGATATAGAGCATATGTACAGAGATCGTATGTTGTCATTATTATAATTCATTAAATTGTTGAATAATATTGGAAGAAGGCATGGGTAATGGTTAAGCATTGACGAATAACGAGTGAAAAATAACTTTTGACCTATGAAGCACGGATACTTCCCTAGGGTAGTGTATCGGCGTATCGGATACGTTCCCGTATCCGATACTCTAGGATACCTGTACCGTACGTTCTCGGGTCGTATTCGTAAATTTTAAAAGTTTTCATTTTTTTTGTAATTTTTTGAAAGTTTCCGATACTCGTATCCTGAAGGATACTCGTATAAACTTTTTTGAATAAAAAAACCCAAAATTTACTTGATAAAATTCTAAAAAAAATTGAAAATCTAAAACTACATTTTACTTGGTTCAAATAATGGGCCTATATGGTATATCTCAATCAAGTCATCAATTCATACTCCGTATCTAATTTACTGAGCAAGTCCAGAAGCTTATCTCTAACCCAGTAACCCCTAGTCCGATGTTCATTAAAGCCGTTGACTGCTCCGGTGAAGTTAAAGACAAGCAATTTATTGCTAATCTTTTAAAGGAGGTGATTGATGAAATTGGTCACGAGAAAGTTGTGCAAGTAGTTACTGATAATGCAAGAAATTGCAAAGCTTCCGGGGAAATAATTCAAGGCATGTTCCCACACATTTACTGGACTCCTTGTGTTGTGCACACACTTAATCTTGCCTTGAAGAATATCTGTGCAGCTAAAAATGTGGAGTCTAATCAGGAGACTTATGAAGAGTGTCATTGGATCACAGAAATTTATGGGGATGCCGTACACATAAAAAACTTTATAATGAACCACTCAATGAGGTTAGCGATGTTTAATCGGTTCAGTCCATTGAAGCTACTTTCAATTGCTGAAACTCGCTTTGCTTCGGTTGTTGTGGTACTTAAGAGATTCAAACTGATTAGGCGTGCATTAGAAGCAATGATTATGAGTGATCAGTGAGCACAATATCGAGACAACAATCAAGGTAGGGCTAGATTTGTTCGTGACAAAGTATTGGATGAGGATTGGTGGGCTAAGATTGATTATATCATTGCTTTTACTTTACCGATTTATGATATGATAAGAGTGTGTGATACAAATAAGCCATGCCTTCATCTGGTTTATGATATGTGGGATGCTATGATAGGGAAAGTGAAGGAAATTATTTATAATCATGAAGGGAAGGCACCTTATGAAGTTTCTTTGTTTCATGGTGTGGTTAATAAAATTCTGTTAGAGCGTTGAGGAAAAAGCAATACTCCATTACACTGTTTATCTCATTCGTTGAATCCGAGGTGAGTTAATAATTATCTTATAGCTTTATAGAATTTATTTGAATCTTTGAATGTATGTTATGTTTTATCGAACCCAAGTTATTCCTACACCAAGTTATTACTCTTGCTCTGGTGGAGTAGTTATTTTTGACTATCCAGTTAATTCAAATGGATCAAAATTTAATTCAAATGGTTCTGTATGCTTTTAACTTGCAGGTCTTATAGTGAAGAAAGGATCAAAGAAAGAGATGGAAGAGTATACCCTCATATGGACGGAGAGCTTTCTATAGAGCGAAACAAATGTTTAAGAAGATTATTTCCCGACGATGAGCATGCAAAGGTAATCAATGAGTTTGCTGATTTTTCACTCTTGAGTGGATCATTTGAGGATCCTGACTCTATTGCAAGCAAATATTACGTGGAACAAATATTACGTGGAACCTAAGAAGTAATGGGCATGCTTTGGTTCTAATGCACCTTTTCTTAAAAAATTAACTTTCAAAATACTAGGACAGCCTACTTCATCATCATGCTCAGAAAGGAATTAGAGTTCTTATTCTTTTATTAATTCATTTAGAAGAAACAAACTGCTTCCAAAGCGAGCGAAGGATTTGGTATTTGTTCATAACAATCTTTGTCTTTTATCATGAGCTTCTAAGCAGTATATGAATGACAATAGTAAAATGTGGGATGTTGGTGGAGATGATTTTGGGAGCATGGAGGATATAGGAGTACTTGAGTTTGCCAACCTCTCCATAGATGAACCAGAATTGGAGGCCGTTTTTTGGAAGATGATATTATTCCTGGAAACTAATACTTCCAGTGAAAATATGTATTAGAAGTTAGAGCTTTTAAAATATTGTTTTCTATCTTAATTATTCTAAAACTTTGGTACTTGCACTTTTAATTTCAAGATTGTAGTTGTTTGACTCATTTCTCATTTTAAATTAATGACTTATCGACTACATGTCTACATTTATATTTCGAGATGCACTAGTGTATATGAGAAATATTATGATGTATATGTAATGAATGGATATATATGTATATATAGGATATATATATATATATATATATATCCAAAAAATTTATTTTTTTTGTATATTTCATAGGATATTATATATATATATATATATATTTCCCAAAAAAAAAAACTATTTTTAATATTTATAAATACACCCCTGTAACTTTTAATATTTGTAAATACACCCCCATAACTTTTAATATTTATAAATATGGCTCCATATCCGTATCCTACTTTTTTTTTGTTTTGCCGTATCCCCGTACCCGTGTCCGCGTTTCCACGATTCCGCGTACCGGTATCGGTGCTACATAGCTTTTGACACGATATTACTGATAGTGATGGACCCGGGCCGGTCCGGTTCTGGGCCGGGCCTGGGCGGTTTTTTTTTGCTTTCTTGTTATCCCCCGACCCCCCCCACACCCCACACCCAAAACCTCCCCAAAACACCCAGCCCTACCCTAGGAAAAGAAAAAAAAATGAAAAAAAAATTTGTCTCGGGCCCGGCCCGAACCGCCCGGCCCGGTTCGCCCAAAACTGGGCCCGAACCTGGCCCGCCCGACCCGCCCAAACGGGCTAAAAGCCTGGAACCGGCCAACTGGTCCCGGTCCGGTCCGGGCCCGCACAGTAGCGGGCCGGGCCGGTTTCGGGCCGGCCCGGCCCGGTTTATTCCATCCCTAATTACTGAGTATAAATTAGCTGAATCATGTTGTCATGTTCAATGTTCCAAATTTCGCTCAAGCAACTCGTTATTGGCTTATTAATGACTACAAAATTAAACACTTCTTGATACTCCCTCCGGCCTTTATAACTTTGGCAACTTTTCTTTTTTGATTGTCTAAAAATTTTTGTCACTTTCCCTTTTAGTCAATCAATTTGTGGTTTCTATTATTTTTCGCTCCTCTGCACAAATCTCTACCATATAGTTTCTACTTTATTGTTTTACGTGCCGGTCAAACTTGACAATCCTTTTAGGTATGCATAGACTCAGGCCGGGTCGGGCCCGGTCAGGGCGCCGGTTTGTAACTCATGAACCCGGAACTGGCCCGAGGTTTGGATGGGTCCGGTTCGGGCCGGGCCACCCGCCTGGGTCACGGGTTTGGGTCACCCGCCGGGCTGGGCCAGGCCGGTTAAAACTATTTTTTTATAATTTCTACTTTATAGTTTTATACAAGTATTAAAAACAAACTTCAAGTGCATTTATTTGAAATGAAATAGGAACTACATTTGTAAATTAAGAGAAACATACAATAAGATGATGTTTGTGTCGGGGGAGGGGGCACATTGCCATATTGTGCATGAAACTCATTAAATAATGCATAAAATATATCATTAACCTCGATGTATTCTTTTTTCGGATCAATTGGGTTGTCCTCATACATTGGCAATGGACCAAAAAAGCAGCATAATAATAATTCAAACATTCTTCTAAAGAACCAAGTCTAAAATGAGGATCGAGAACAAATGCAATCCCATAAATATGCGGAATATGTGAATAATATTTTAAAAACTTTCCCTTCATAAAACTAGCAAAATAACTCACATAATCAGCATTCTCAAAATTTGAAAAAGCACCGGCGAGATTAACAGCTTCACGAATAAATTGGTTTGAGGTAGGTTTATAAACATGATTAAAAGTTTTAGTTGCATTATTAAAATATATCAAAGCATTACAAATTTTTTCACAGGTGTCAATCTCAGCTGAGTTTATAATATAGTTATCATATTGTTTCATAAAAGCAGGAAAATGTTGTTTATATCTAAGAAGAACTCCAATTAACTTATAGGTACTATTCCAACGAATAGACAAATCTTTAGGAAAAGCCACATATTTCTCACCTCTTTCTATCAAATAATCATGTCATTTTTTTCTAAGTTGTCCATTACCCCAAATACGTCTAATCCCCCCCTTGACTACCTCCAAAGATGCTCCCAACGCTTTTAGACTATCTTGCACACATAAATTTAGAACATGACATGCACATCGTTGATGAAAAAATCTATCCATCAAAGAAGTAGAACCACACAATTCACGCAATCTAGGAATAACATCACTATTATTAGTAGCATTATAAAAACCAATAGCAAACACCTTATCAATTAAATTATACTCAATTAAAATACGCTCAATCAAAATATAAATATGTTCAGCGGTGTGACGATCATTAAATTCACGGAAAGCAAGAACACGTTTATGCATATGCCAATCATTATCAATATAATGTACAGTCAGACCCAAATAATGTAAATTATGATAAATATCCTCCCATATGTCAGAACATACAGTAACACGCCCATCTATTTATAAATTATAAGTAGATAATTAATATAAAGTAGATATATAAATATAATATATTGGAGAATAAGAGAATTAGAGAGTAGAGAGTTAAGAATAGGATTTAGGAAGAATTGGAGAAGAGATATGAAAAAATGTTTTATATTAGGAGTATTTATAGGTTTTTTTACCCCACCCTCACCCCACCCCACCCCCAAACCCCCCAGACCCCCCTGCAGCCCACCCCCAACGGCTAGTTTTGCCCAAAAGTCCAAAACATTTTTTTTTAAATTGTGACCGTTGGACCCGGACCCGGGCCCGACCCGGCCGGGCCGGGTCAACTATTTCCGGAACCGAGCCCGCCCCGCCCATTCCCCCCGATTCGGGTCTACACCCGGTCCCGGACCGCCAGACCGGGCCGGTCCCGGACTGCCAGACCGGGCCGGTCCCAAGCCCGCACAGTAGCGGGCCGGGTGGCCCGGACCGAGTCCAAGTCTACTTT